ATGAAAAGAGGCGAGAAAAAATTATGAGGAGGAAAAAAGGCGAGATGGATTTCTGAAGAGGCAGTGCTAAGATAAGAGGTTTTGGGATGGGTATCGAAAGGGCAGGTAAAAGCTTTCAGCAGCTAGAACTGCAGCGTCCCGCGAGAGGGCAACCACGCCGAACACACGTGCACCTGGGCATCCTCAGCTGAAAGAAGGGTTAGAAATAAGGGTTGGAGGGGAAGGAAGTAGGTCAATTGATTGACAGGTCGCCTTTCCCTCACGTCTTACTCTTCTCCCCTGAAGATGAAAGCAGCAGGTTCCTCCGAAACGTTAGTACTTGTCTACCAAATTATACGGCGTCACAACTCAGAGTACCGCAATCTTCACGGTCACCACCTTGAATACCTCGAATTTGTTACAGGCTAAGGATGTAGAATCTCTGGACCCCAAACGTTGAGTCTGTTAACATCCTCACATCAAGGAGATCAGTCTGGCAAGATATGTTATTCGAAAAGACAGATCAGTCTTTAGATCTAGGCGTAGATTTTTGTATAATATAAAGCGGATCTTAACGGTGTGCTGAACGTATCTGCTTCGGTACAGGTCCAAGGGTTGGCTCACGCGAATCCTTTCTTATTTCGTAAATGGGGCATTTCTTGCCTGACTAAACGACTAAAAAGGAAGATCTTGCTCCATAATGCTAGTGGGGCGGGACTGAGTCCCTTATACTGCGGCCACTTCTGGCCTATTGTACCAGCCCCAGATGATAGGTGAGGGTGATTGTGGAGCAATTGGTGGAATGAAGATTGGCAGGGGAAACCGAAGTACTGGGAGAAAACCCGCCCCAGCGCCACTTTGTCCACCACAAATTCCACTTAACCAGACCCGGGATTGAACCCAGGCCGCCGCGGTGGGAAGCTAGCGACTAACCGCTTGAGCTATGGCGCGGCCCAATGCAGGATGTAACACTACGGCCTCCTACATATTTACTTACATGGCTTCGAATTGTATGAAAACGCAGGACTAACTTTTTACATCTAATTACAATCGAAACCCGTAATTTGTGAAAGGTCTGTGTAAGGAAGCATCACAGTGAAGGAATTAATGTGCTGTATGGTACTGCTATGAGTCAGAAATGCATTTTATAATGCCTAATTTTATTGGAAAAGTTCGAAAACAGAATACTGGTTGTACTTACTCGCAGCCTCCCGGTTGCTCGCACTTGCCGTGTATCGGATGACAGCCAGTCTTGCAGACAGCTGAAACAGAAAGTAGCCTTAATGAAATTTACTGAACCAGGAACTTCAAGGAACGTATGATTCAGTCACGTGAAACCCATGATTCGCCAGCTGGATCCCTTCCCCGAGCTTGTTACCAACTGAAAATACAAGAATTTAGAATCGCTTTGTTACTCTGCAACTAAATATGGAACTTAGTCAAAATATTTTTGAAAACCATTAATGAAAATAAGAGGCTATCTATCTATGGCTCTACAGCCCTTGTGGACCTTGGCCGTGTTTTCAGTTTCTTAATCTATACACAGCCGGTAAGACTCCTTGGACGGGGGATCAGCTCATCGCAAGACCGTTACATGCACACAGAATTAACACACACTGATATCAATGCCTCGAGTGGGATTCGAACCCACGATCCCAGCGTTCGAGTGGGCGAAGACGATTCATGACTTAGACCGCGCGGCTACTGTGATCGACGAAAATAAGAGACGGAACTATTTTAATTTTCGTTTAAGAAAATACAGGTCCATGAACTCTGATACACAATATGTTCTAGTTCTGTCTGCATAAGCAGGCCCTTCCTTATTCGCAAATAACTGCTTCTTAACCTGAAAAACAGCGAATTAAAACACTTCAATATGGAGAATAAAAAAATTAAACTGTATAGGTTTACCTGAAGGAACATTTAACAGCAAGTAAGTCTGTTTTCAGGGCAGGATTTAAGGAGAGCGACCGGACAGGTTGCCTCGTGGCCCTCCAAAAATAGAAATAGAATATTAGATTTAAGTGAGACATTTACATCTAAAAAATCACGAAGATTTTTTTTTATCTTTAGTTATTATTATAAGAAGAAGAAGAAGAAAGAAATGAAAAATAACTGCCATATCCCAAGTTTGTTGTTACTGATAAGAGGCCTCCAAATTTTGGTTGCGTCGAGGACCTCACATTGTAAATTCGGCTTCGTCTGTTCTGATTATTGTGTAAATGCTTCTTGGGTTCAGTTAAAGGTAGTCATGCCCGTATATTATCCTACATCCATGCGTAGAGCCTATCACGAAGGCTTAAATAGAACGTTGAGATAATGTTTTAATCATTAAATTAGATACTGTTTCTAGCAGAAGTGGTAAGTATAAGCTCCGGCCGTTTACACCTTTTCGGGTATGTACCCATTAAAAAAGGGGGCACGTACTGGCGTAGTTGATTGAGGCACTATGCTACAAGCCGGAATATCACGGGATCTAATTCCGATGAGGTGGATTTTTCAATTTACCTAATCCTTCCAGCCGCACTATGGCCCTGGGGTCGACTCAGTCTGTAACAAAAATGAGTACCAGAAATCTTCCTGGGGGGTAAAGCGCGGCCGGCGCGTAAGGCTGACAACCTCACCGCCATCTGTGAGCCGATTGTGGGAGCCTCGACGTCTCACAGCCCTATGGGCCCTCACAGCCTGTTACAGGGATAGCTTTACCCTTTTTATCCATTAAAAAACCTCAGGGTCATTCTGGAAGTAGTGGAGAAAAGAAGAAAAAAAGTAATGATTTTAGTGGGAATGGAATCACGGTTACAGTGTCTACAGTTTATAAAGTTACTAGCCCATCACAGCTTCATTCTGAGATACAGATACTACAGACAGGATTTAAACAGTTTCTACACAGTTCTTCTGAAATATATGAATTACAAAGAAAGCCCTAGGTTACAGAACTTCCGTAACAGATTATAACATTTAGATATTAAATTCTGTGTGATTAATCGTGTCTTCTGATTTCGATACATTTGTGTATATTCTGCCGATCTGAAGTCGAAAAATTATGCCCGAAATCTGATACCGAAAATTCATGCAGTAATCCTTTGGCCTGTAGACCCACAATTGTAAAAGCTTTCAGTCACACCTGCTAAACAGTACTTTGTATCACCACCACAAATATCCGTCCCATAAAGACGTGTATGAAACATTTACTGCGTACACTAAGAACCACTTATCTGAATTTGGGATGTCTCTTGCGTAACCTCTGCCATGTATCTATGAAATACTGTTACACAAGAGAGGAACATGAATGAGACATGAAAATTGTTAACCCAAACATATTTGTAAGTAATTATTTTCGTTGGCGTCTGATCGTGTTTGACTTACCAATCTCGCAGTTGATGCCTCTCCAGCCTGAGATGCACTCCTTCTCGCCTGCTTTATCGCACCGGTAGTGTCCAAACTTATCGTCCCGCGGCCGGCAGAACTTGGTGCAGGTAGAGTTGAAGTAATGCAGGTCACACTGGACGCGCACCCTATACGTGATTCGTGCCGTATTCCCGTTATAATTCAACGTGTGCCAGTCCGCGCTTGGCAGGATAATACCGGAGTAAGTCGCCTCTTCGATGACGCGGTTCGTCGCTGTGAAAAGAAAAAAAAACATAGTAAGATCACAGCTTCATCCTTGTTACAACCAGTTTATCGTACATTACCATAATCTCCACTATCTTTGTACTAGTTATCATCATAAATTATTCAATGAGCAGGTTTAACTCAATCTGTGAAGTAACTGGCTTCGGGTTCGTTTCATGGAAAGGAACCCTTACAGCGTCCAGATTGGCTCAGGGATCCACTCACTCACTCATGGAGCTGAGCCCTTCTTGAGAAGCTGCCAATTGTGAAGCTGCCCAAGAACTTCCCAGCATTTTATGGAATCCGAAGGTTCATTACCGTGTTCACAAGAGCCCTCCAGCGGTCCCTATCCTGAGCCGGATCAGTCCAATCCATACGATCCCATCCTATCTCTCTGAGATCCATTTTAATATTGTCCACCCACCTACGCCTTGGTCTTCCCAGTGGTCTCCTTCCTTCCGGCTTTCCCACCAATATATGCATTTCTCCTCTCCCCATTCGTGTTACACGTCCTGCCCACCTCATCCTCCTTGACTTCATCATTCTAATTATACTTGGAGAAGAGTACAAGTTATGAACCTCCTCATTTCTCATGTACGTTTTCTTTCGCTTAGGTTGTTTATCCAGAGGATCCGTCCAGGTCCGAGGCTTTGTGAATATTTTCGTAACAGGCTTATTTTTTTACGGTGAGGAGTTGTTAGCCCCACGCCCAACCCCCAAGCTGGTGGACCATCAATTGTCGGCTGCCCGCGATTGCTTATTCACTATAGTCGCAGCTTCCCTCCAAATCTGGAGGGCGTCTCCTTCATCCGCAACCTGAGGACGCGCCATGCCGTGGTGCCAGGGACCCACTAGCTAAGTAAATAGACTAACCAGACTCCGCCTTGAGGAGTTATAATCATCTCATCATGATTATTTCCCCCTTTTATGGGGCCCAATGATTCATTTCTGTGTTCACAAGGACGTGCCACTGGTCCCTATCCTTCGGAGTCATGAGCCACTGGATCTCTTAGCGAATGCGCGCCGCGAGGAAAGCGGGCCCTCGTCCGAGTCTAATTCCGAGGTTACTAACGCGTGAATGAATGTCACCTCTACTCTCTTCTCATATGTAGATTTGCGTGATGCTTAAGCAGAGGAACAACGTTTATTTGCAAGATTATGAGATGTTCCGCCAGCTCTGCTGTTGATAGAACGCTCTTAGATCCTGAAAACGCAATTATGTGCCTCAGAATATTGTGTCGTGCAGCCTAAAACCGGAATATCGGAGTTAGAGCGGACGTCCATTGCTAGGCAGCGGCTCAGTAGTCATGTTTCTTCTACAGCAGTGAAACCAAAAGTGAACTAGCGTGCTTTCGAGAGGCAGACATCGTTCAAGAAAGCAGACGTTGAAGACCTTGTTTTGTGTCTTACAGTTAATCTGAGTTTGTTATAATTATCTGTAGCTCCGCCTGGTGAGATTATCCAATAAATCGATTCATGTAATTTTAAATCCATTAATTACTTACCAGGAAAATGACAGTATTATTTTTTTTAATCTCTGTCACAACATTTAAAAATTTCAATCTGATTTTTGCCAAATTTCGTAAATTTAAGCGATCCATTACAGCACAGTAACCCCAGAAGTTAAAACAAAGATAAAGGACATACAGATATTATTTCTATTTCCCTACTATATTCTTACTGTTCAGTAACCATCAAATTTACTTGTCGTTGTTCAAAGAATTCGTTTTGTAGAACCTACCACTTCTTCTCGGTTATGTACGCCGATAAATATAACGGCAAATAATTGATATTTATTGGCAAATGTGCCAAAAGCAAAAGATCATATATCTACCGGTGCATTATATATATTTCGACATTGAGGCTAAAGCCTAACTACTGTAGTTTCGACAAACGTGTCTTTCCGGCGGGGGGGGGCGATGGTAGAACCTGTATAATCGTTAAACAATCAAGTAAGAGCAGTTAGATGGACAGATGCATGAAAGGTCATATGGACCAAAGCCAGAAAAACAAATATTGAGTTCTTTCGTTGTGTTAGGGCAAAAATGTGACTGGTCCTTATCATGCTGAATTACATTTATAACTAAGAACGTTATAAAGCGGTTTTAGTACCTGTGAGCTATGCCCTTCAGGCTTTGACAGTACTTTCCTGGAAAAATATTGTCACGTGAATTAGTGACTGCAGCAGCGGGTTTGGAGCGGTGAGTCTATTTACTGGATATTCACTAGTCGTAACTACAAATAATTATTACACTATTCCTGATTTACACAATTTACAAACACTCTACACTTATCTTTTCAGTCTGTTTCCACTAGTCTTCACTATCCGTTTCCTGTCAACGGATTTATAACACAGGAACTATAAAAGTTTCACTAAATTACACATTCCCAATATAGAACTAATACAGCACATGTAACGTCACACATTAATTCTTCTAATTCTTCTTCTGGCTACACTGCTGTTCCCTTGGATCTTCGGAACTCAAGTGAAGTTCAAGTTCAAGTTCAAGTCACATTGCGACTGACGGTCAGTCAGTCAGTAAGTCTTGGTGTCGAGCCCTATCTGGGGCTCATGACCAGATATTTATATTACTGTTTCACACTTACGGTCTTGCTTTTGTGGGGCGTCCTCTCTGACGAGTGGACGGGTCTGTCGTTTGTATATGCTGCTGGCCTTTGCCAGCGCAGTCTTTCTCAGGTCCACGTCCCTTGAGACTAGTGACCTTATTTTGCTGTCTCAGATGTGCAACTTCCCTTTTCGTCGCCTCCTACGACTCGCAGGGTCACGGTGGATGTATTCTACCCCGCCTCCACACAGGGTTCAAGTGAAGTCAATTCCCATATTCACTTTATCATCTCGGTACGGACCATGCACAGAAAACACAACCCCTCTATTGTTGCATGGCGCAGACCACATAGAAAACACGTGTCGCGTGTCAGACTGCGAGTTTATTGGTCCGTGACTAGCACTGAGCATGACGGAGACGACAGAAAACACAGCCTCATGTACTGTTGTGTGTTGGAACGTGTTTACCGAGCTGTTGCTTGGCAAAGCGTTGATCAAATCCGTTACAATATTTGTGTTCCCTGTGTTAGTAGTCTTCGTAGTGGCATTCAGTCCATTAGAAAGCTGCCTCGAGCCGTGTCACATGCATCTCATTATCAAGTGATCAGAACAAGTGATAAATAACACCGGTTTAACCTGAACCAGTCAGTCTGGCCACTAATTAGATACCTTCAAGACGCACAGAAGCAATGCCACTTATCTGGATCCGTACAGTAGCTGATGTGAACTGGTTTATTTTGATAATGTGTCCTGCAGTTGCTGGGAATTAGACTGCCTGGTCCAATCGCGACACGTGGACACAACCTCCTGACGAATGTTTACTAAATGAAATTATTCCCAATCCGGAAACGTGGCCTTATATGATGCTCTCAGTCGCTTAATTTTCTTGCAGGGCCACGTAGTCTCACATCACGGGGACATACAGAAATATAAAATGTATAAACACTTCAGTAACTACTATACGTATATAATTAATGTACCTAAGACAGGCATTGCCGGTCACGGTAGCATGAACTGTCTTCGCTCGCTCGGAAGCCGGGATCGTGGGTTCGAATGTTTCCTGTGAGGTACGAACTGAATTCTTATATATTATTCTTATACACTGCCGGTCACGGTAGCCGAGCGGTCTAAGGCATGTACTGTCTTCGCTCGCTCGGAAGCCGGGATCGTGGGTTCGAATCCCGTTCAGCGCATGGATGTTTGGTGTTTGTGTATGTTCTCGCGCGCTCGTTTTTCTCTGTTTGTGTACAGGTAGAGGCCTTGCGACGAGCTGATCACATGCTCAAGGAGTCATATGGAATATCTAAGGGGTCTAGTAAGGCGAAGCGAAACGGAGAGTTTCACGGAGGTAGGCTAAGGCCCAAATTGGGGCTGTAATGCGAAAGGAAAAAAGAAGACATTTGAGAAGCAGAAGAGTGTACGTAAATATAAATAGGTTATGTTCACAGACAATTACAAACTACAGTACGTGGTAAGAAGACAACTTATAAGGCAAGGTTACGAAAGGACTGCACTTAGATAATAATTGGCTAATTAACTCCATGTAGCAGAATCTCCGTTTCTTTGTTCATACTGTTCGGGTGATACAGGAATTCATTCCGTCGCCATTTATGTAACCAGACATACCATAGAGCACAACAAGCAACCAGCTACAGCAGGCATGTCAAACTCAACTTGTACAGAGGGCCACCTCAGCCATATAAATAATAGTCCAGGGCCGCACTTCAAAATGGAAATATACATTAGATTTTGATACAAGGAAATTTAATTATATTTATTATTTTGGCATAATTTCAATATAATTACCTAAAGTCACATATCTTACAGTTGTAAAAAGCAAGAGAATGCCATTTTTGACAAGTATCAAACAGCTTTTCAATATGTAAAAAGAGAGATTACAGAAGAAATTATGTTAGAAATAGCAAAACATTGAATTTCCTGCAGCCTGCTAATTTATGTCTGCGCGAGACTTCTTGTCTTATGGTCTGTTGGAAAATTGTCTTTACAAAAAATATTTCTACTAAAATTTTAATATTGATTTTAATATCAATTAGCTCTAAGAGTTGAGGGGCCGCACTTTGTGGCTATGGGGGCCGCATGTTTGACACGCCTGATCTACAGTCTCGTCGAGATTATGTGGTCCTTCGCTGGGCGGTTTTACGTTTCATTTGAAAACACTGTCAAAGTATTACATTTTTCTTGGCTGCTTTTACTCTACAATATACTTACTTACTCACTTATGGAGCTGAGCCCTTCTTGAGGAGAAGCCAAATCTGCAGCTACTCAAGAATTTCCCAGCGTTTTATGGAACCCGAAGGTTAATTACCGTGTTCACAAGAGCCCTCCACTGGTCCCTATCCTGAGCCAGATCAATCCTCTCTACAATATAGTCGACTTTAAACACATTTGTGTTGTCAACAGATTTGACTGCTTTATTTAACGAGACACAGCGTCCAGACCAGCTCTGTGGTCCATCCAACCTCCTATCCAATGGGTTCCAGAGACTCTTTCCCCGGAGGTAAAGCGGCAGGGTGTGAAGCTGACCACTCAACTGCATCTAGTGTTGATGTCAAGAATGGTGGAGGTATATCTCTACTACACCACACGTCTTCATGGCGTAGTGCTTAATTAATTAAGCACAGGGCCAACTTTGTCTTTTTTTATTTTCAGCTGTACAGATTATTCGAACGATAAGATGATATTGATTGTTGAACTGGAAAGAACACAGAAGGCAGCGGTCGTGGCCTGTTTCCATCCCTTCCAAGCCCTTGTCTTGAGGGTCTGACACAGCAAGGACTTATTTCGATCTGAACAATCTCGAACATCCGACGTGCATTCCCTATTTCGTGACCGAATCGCTTGTACCCCTCCCCGTTTAGACAATATATACTGAAAACTGCATGCTTCAATGTTTGGACTTAAAAAGAATATCGGGCAGCAGCGCTGCATTCTTCCGCCCTCGCTGGGACTTGCTACGAGACATGCAGGCGGCGCCAAGGCTCCTCAAATCACGTGACTCCAGCTTCACAGAACAGAGACCTTAAGAAGCTAACAGTCCCTCAGGCAGTCAAGAAATTCCCAACAGACGGTACCTGTAAGCGAATTATCTTGTCGGAAAGAAAGGATAAGGGTCCCTATCAATACAGCCCCTCTCTCTTACACCCTGCTCCTCTGCTCCAAGTGATCTGTTCCCGAGGGCTTCCGACTCCAACTACGTGTATGTATGTATCTCTCATATTAGTTGATGCATAGTGAAAACTGCGAAGTTCTTCATTATGCACTTTTTTGTTTTCCTTGGCACTACAGCCCCAGTGGGCCTAGGTCTACCTCCATGAACTTCTCCGTTCACTTGGGTTTTTCTAGATCTTACACATTCGGTAGGATCCCTTGGGCGGATGATCAGCTCGTCGCAAGGCCTCTACCTGTACACAAACACAGAAAAACGCACACACACAAAATAAACATCCATGCCCTGAGTGGGATTCGAACCCACGTTCCCGGTTTCCAAGCGAGCGAAGTCAGTACATGCCTTAGACCGCTCGGCTACCGTGACCGGCCATTATGCACTTTGGTATTGGGAAATAAACAATGTATTATAACTTTAAGGTCTTTGATTGTTAGTAGTGTGTGACACTTTTTTAAGTTTTCCACCTCGTCACCACCTGCCTTACATGTTTCGGCTCACCACGGAGCCATCATCAGAGGCATTTATAGTAGAAAAAGAAATCACCAACACACAAAACTTCACTTTGTCCAAGATAGCCACGTTCCAGTTAATTAAAATAATTACAAATAGTTAAAATTACCCAGAGTGTCGGTTCACTAAAAGTTTTTCACACACCACAGTAGCTTCCTTATTTGATTCGTCGTTAATTCTGTAAAATTATGTTTCGTTATTTGAAGTAAGAATTCTTAAAATCCCTAGAATTCTTTCCCGCTTGGCCCAATCTTTTTGCTTCGGGATGTTGTTGACGTGTGTTGTCTGTCGGTAGTTGATGTTGCTTGTCTGTGTGTTGTGAGACACCCTCGATACCCATTGGATAGGAGGTCGGGTGGGCCCCAGATTCGTCCTAGACGACGTGGAGAAGATAAAAGTCTTGAGCCCACCGGGACTCGAACTCCGACGTCTCTGTCGTCCAGCCCGTAGCCAGTCGCTGTACCGACTGCGCTATCCCGGCTCTTCTCGCTAATAGTAGGAAAAAATAATTTTTTTTGCAGTTTGAGAGAATGGAAACTTGTACTACGAGTACTAACCCGTACGTAAAATCGATTTGTATTAGTAGAGAAATATTTCATGTACATGAAAATTATTTTCCAAAACTGTCATCTCAATAAACAGGTGTCAGTGGGCACGGTCCACCATTCTTTCGTTCTGTTAACGGATACTAAATTACCCCCGCCCCCCAAAATTACATCCCCTCTGATATCACTATTCTCATCGGCACTTGTACACCAGGACTATTAAGCAATTTTGGTAACCTTGTTAGGGCTTGCGGGCACGCATACCGAATGAGTCCGGCTGAGTCGCATCTAGACGAGTCTAAGGGCTGCCGCACACCAACAAGACAAGCATCAAGACACGAGACAAAAGACGCACTCTTGCTTCGTCTGTGATTCGTCAGCATGGAAGTGACGCCAGCATCATGATTCAGACCAGTGTGCGGCGGCTTTCATAATCTCATTCGTTTCAACTGTGCTCTTTCTTTGCGTCATGTCGCAGACATCGTGTCTTGACTGTTACATGTCTTGACGCATGCCGGTGTGCGGCCTACCTCACACTGGACGAGTTCAGGCGGGTCGGGTCGTGTCGTGTTGTGCCGAGTGTGCTAAACGTCTGCCTTCGCAATATTCTGATGATTTAGACTTGATTCGAATAGACTGGACTCGATTACAGATTAGAGCACCCATAACTTGCGGAAAGTATTTACCATTTTGGCCTTATAATTTAAATTTCACGCTTTGCTTAGTTTTCTTTCGGTTATCGCTGAATTTTCCGTGGTTATCCCCACTAGCCGAAAACTAATTCTGACTTGTAACATTAAGGGGGTTACTTCCAGATGAGGTCACTGGATTTTTTCAATTGACCTAGTCCATCCAGCCGCACTATGGCCCTCGGGTCGACTCAGCCTCTAACAGACATGAATACGAGGAATCTTCCTGGGGTTAAAGAGCTGCTGGCGCGTATGGTTGCGAGCCTCACCTCCATCTGTGAGTCGACTATCTAGAAAATGTGAGACCCTCAACGTCTCACAAACCTATGGGCTTCCACATCCTGTTACAGGCCTGTTTATATACTCAGAAATTAAAGACTGTGCAACTATAAGGCAACAGAAAAATTTTACACAATTTCAGAAGATGTGTCATATACGAAGAGGACAGGTGGAAGGAATGACAAGACCATGACTGGACTCCCGTGGCTTTTAGTCCGCAAGCCAACTATACCGACAGAGCGCCCGCCGCTTGTCGGCGAAATTAGTGCCAACTTCTGCGGTTAGAGTGTCGCGTCGTCAGCGCAACGGATCCCCACGGTCGTTAATCACGGTTTCCTAGACCGGAGCCGCTACATTTCCATTCAAGTACCTCCTCAATTATCATCACCCCGTTCCAGGCCCACTACTTCTCAGAAAATCTGGTAGCGCCGGGAATCGAACCCGGGACCTCTGGCCACTAGACCACAGAGGCAGCCATCATGACTGGACAGCAGTACTAAGGGCTGTAGAACTTCAGGTATGGATTGCATGATGTGAAAGGGACTGAAATGGCAAAGGATGAGTTCGAATTGCGGATTTTCGTGGTAACGGTAACGAACCTTTGGGTTCTGCGAAGCAGTAGAAAATTCTTTGAACAGCTGAATAAGAATGGATTGTAGAGGCAATAATGTGAAGGTGAAGTTGAAAATACAAGTGAATGTTCTTTGGAACGAGGAAAAGCTACACTTTCTGAATACGACTGAATGCGTGAAGGCTTCAGTGCAGTGGCATAATCTAAAAAACGTGAACTGCGATGAGGAACAGACTTCCTTAGCGAGGGACAGACCGTACCCAGCGGACAGCGGTGTAGCGCTTGGAAACAGAACAATGGAACATCTCAAATTATTTTACATGAATCAACTAAAACGCTGTGAACCAGTGAATGCATCCAGCAGTCAATAACAGCTCTGAAGAATAACAAGCCGTTGTCATATTGCACAGAGTCATCACAGAAAATGACGCCCGTCACCTTCCGGAATAGGGTACCATTTTCTGTAGACACACAGCAAAGCATCCGACAAGTACCGCTTCTATAATGATGAAGTTTCGGACAAGTTTTAGAGATTTACCAAGAAACTAGAGACGACCATAACTAGATATTATTTTGAAGATTATTTTAACAGGTAAATTGACGGGCTTTTGAACTAAAAAGGCTTCCCTCCCCCATTCCCAACTGTGCAAAAATTGGCCTCTTTTACTGTCTACTGAACAACTTGGAATACATTGTTAAAATGTGCCGCTGAATATTAACAAGTATGAGCACATAATTTGTACCCGTTCGGTGCCCGATTAACTATGACAATTGTTTTAATTCAAGTTATCTTCACTACCTTACACTCTGTTATTGTTAAGCACCGGCAGCTAAATTAATAACAAAATATACAGAAATATTCTAACGATTCCTGTTCGGAAAAACCCATTGTCTTTACGTCACTCTGGTAACAAGGCGTAAGACGACGACGAAGAAGAAGAAGAAGAAGAAGATGATGATGATGATGATGATGATGATGATGCACATGCTGAGTAAGTTGGCTCGAGAGGCAGCGCTTCTGACTGGTTTCGGGAGGTAGCCGATTGTAGTCTCTGTCGGGCGACACATCCTCACAGAGGTACATCGTGGTCCTCCATACGTCTCCAGTGTTTGAGTGCGGGAAGACGGTTCATGCTTTACACCGCGCGGCTACTGTGGTCGGCAAATTGATAATAAGGACATGAAATGTTACAATACATTCTGACTAATTAGCAGAATTGCCGTCCACAATGAAAGTTCACTATGACCAATTATTTTGCAGAAGAAACAACGGAAGTTTCCAATAAAAACTCGTAACTGTTAGATCATGAGAATCACACGATTCATGACGGTCAAACACTGTCTTATTGTATGTGGTAATGAAGGCTTAAAGAAGTGAATAGCGTCTCCTCGTTGAGGTTAACGCATGAGGAGGAATTAACTTACCCGGTATGGAGTAGTTGTCATGGTCCACAGCCTGGAGGATGAGCGTGAAGGATCTCTGTAAAGAGAAACAAAGCATCAGTCAGGAGTGATGCTAACTACCAACTCAAACACCCCAGACCGCCGGCAGGACGACGGAATTTCAACGGCTAACGTGAACAAACTAAGTACAGTGGAATCCAGCACCAATGATCATATTTATCACGGACAGGATGCTTTACAAAAGTACTGTAACGGAGTTCTCCAACAGAACGTTGCACATTTCTAAGAATATGCCAACATCTTCTGTTAGAGGTTCTTGCTCAAACCCTTGTGGCATGTCTATATCAGGAAATGCCACCACTTTGAGACGACAGCTCAGATTTAAATATTAAGTTGTTTAGTGAAGCTTTTTAAACTGAAAAGACACTGAAGAATGTCGAATGAGATTGGAAGACGACCATGTGGAAATTTAGAATCATGAATACTTACTATATGTCTACTTTTAATAATCCTTACTATTGGGTTGCGTAATTCTTTGAGGCACTATGCTAGGAGCCGGAATGTCGTGGGTTCGATTCCCGATGAGTTTATTGGAATTTTAAAATTTTCAATTGATCTAAACCTTCCAGGCTCACTATGCCCCTGAAGTCGACTCAGCTTCTAACAGAAATGAGTACCAGGAATCTCTCTGAGGGTAAAGAGCGGCCGGCGCGTAAGGGTAACAACCTCACCTCCATCTGACAACCGACTGTCTCACAACCCTATGGACCTCCACGGTCTGTCAGAGGGATAGCTTTACCTTCTATGGTAACAACATGATGGGCTATGTGACAATATTTGTTACTGCCTGCATTCTTGGTGTGGGATAAAGAAATTTATAAAGGAGACCAAAAACCTAGCTTACAGATTATTTACAGAAGAAAGGCTCAACGGAACACTTTGAAGAAACGATTACTTGAATTTCATGTAAACTTAACATTTTTATGGTCTGTACTATACGTAGCAGCAGTTGTTCAATTGTCCTGCAGCCTGCTGATAGCTTGCGCCACACTTCATGCAGTGGGACAACACAGTAAGTGTGTGTGATGTGTGGACAGGATGTTAACCCTACACGGAATGTTGGCTTCAGTATCCATTACGCTAATAACACGTGTGTCATATGTCGAGGGACAAGCAGCACAGATTTATCACAGGTGTGGAAGGCGCCTCTTGTGTCCCGAAACATCCATATGACATTCTGAATGGCTACAGTTCAACGCATGTCAAATACAATGCTTATCGGTGTGATTCTATATACTAACAGATTCCGAAATCAGAACAGAAATACGTTGTCCCTGTGCTAAAGTAATTAGGTACTACGTCATGAAAGCATAGGGGGGAGTGGATGTAGAGATACATATTTTCTTAATCTCGGCAATAGCTGGAGGTGAGTGGTCAGATTCACACCCCGGCCGCTTTACTCATGGGGAAAGAACCCCCGGTATCCATTGGATAGGAGGTTTGGTGGACCCCAGAGCCGGTCTGGACGACACGGAGAAGGGAACATTCTTAAATCTACCGGGACTCAAACTCCAACCCCTCGGTCATCCAGCCCGTAACCAGTGTTTCTCAAACGCCGGGCCGCGGCCCGGTACCGGGTCCTCGTCTTATAGAAAAAATAATTTACCAGGCCGCGGTCTGACAAAGGTTCAGAACCACTGCTTAAGAATATACACGTGCGTTACGTTCTCATTGGCTAATTGTCTGATTGGACGTCGCAGTCGAATGATCAACGTACTTATTTCATAAATGGGAGATCCCGAATTCGAACCTCGGACCATTACAGGCTATCATGACAGGATTCTTGTGATTTACCTTAACCGCCGTTAGGAAAGTGAGCATATCCCGGCTTATGCGATTTCTATCCTGTCTGTGTGTACAGGTATGTATCCCCTCATCAACTTCTGAATGCCTAAACCAATCTTAATGAAACTTGGTATGCATATCATGGTAACTGAACTCATCTCAACGGCGTACTTCGTAAGTCCAACGGCTCGGTTAAGTGTATTCCTCTATTCGGTGCTAGGAAACGGCTCGATAAACATGTTTCCTTCTATCGTCATAAAGATGTTCCCGCAGCAACAAAGAGCTTTTTTTTTTCCTTGGAGTCAAGAGCCTGCAGACTCCCAGAGCCGTTGGGCAGTAAAATGCGGTCATGGGTTCCGTGGGACTCTGAACCAAGAATCACTGTGCTGGCGAGAACCCGCAGCAATTTAGCAGTCAACTGAGAATAATTGTTGGCGTCGTCGTTTCCTATGCGGTCTGTGTCATATCAAAAGCAGTTCTTAGTTCTTCCCAGAATTTCTTGTCTATGATAAAATCCAACATTTCTAGAAGAACGATTTAAAAACCCATGTTAAGAACATGATCTTAACTAACGCTATGGGAGCAGGAAACAAAGATTCAACACAACTTGTCACCAAACCGCCTTGAGCAGAACCCTCCTCAAAGTACGCACCGTTCTTCCGTGAACTGAAGCCTATCTACGTGTAACTAACGTCATGGCAGCAGGATTCGAAAGTTGCCACTCAAGACTATCCTGAGGCAGTTTCATCCATCTTCGATTCTCACGACCTTTTATTCGAAAATCCATCATGCGTTTTTCATCTGCCTCCTTCATGTTCTTTTAAGTGACCATTTCCCAAGACGCTCCTACTGTAAACATTCTACTTGCATTTTCCTTACCCCACTTTTCTTATATGCCCAGTCACAATTGGCTTCATGCTTTTAAGATCACAGATCATCTGTGAAAATCATAATTTGTAGTTATGTAACATCGTTAATTGAACCATGCATCCAGTGTTTCGAAGAGGATATGTATATTTTTTTCTTTCAAACCAAATGGTCTGTAAAGTTATGTGGGAAGTTTAATTTGCATACGAATATACGCGTGAACTACACTCGGGATCCGATGCATTGAACTCTCCCATTTCGAAGCGAAACATAGTAACCGTGAGTCCTTGCTTTTGGAACAGTATTTACTGCACAGTAACGGTGTGGAGACAATTGAGATCCGCTAGGAAACCATGTGTGGGCTGTTGTAAGTTGTGTAATAAGTTCCGTGTGAGGTTTAAATGTCAGCAGGCTACAACACCAGATAAATAAGATGCTTCTCCAGAGAACTGTCTGTTGAAGTGCTGGTAGATAGCTGGGCGGCAACTGAGACTTTGATTTTATAGTCTGGAGTTCTTACATTGTTCTCTTGTACAGTTTAGAGTGGTGAACACGCTGTACAGATGTTAGAATGATAACAACTGTTCACGGATTTCAATTAGGAAGGATTGAAAATAGTTAATAGTATAACACTGCATCAGGAATTGGACTGACAGTTATGTTATCTCCATCATTATCTCCTTTACTAGTGCTGCTGCTACTGCTACTACTCATACTGACACTATTTCTATTGCCGACCACTACAATACTACTGATGCTGCTACTACTACCACTACTACGGTACAACAGCTGCTACTACTAAACGACTACTATTACTACTACTGATACTGCTACATTACTACTATTGATTACTATTACCGCTTACTACTACTGCCACTGCTTTTTTTATTGCTAGTGGGGTGGGACTAAGTCCCTTGTACTGCGGCCGCTTCTGGCCTATTGTACCAGCCCCAGATGATAGATGAGGGTGATTGTGGAGCAATAGGTGGAATGAAGATTGGCAGGGGAAACCGAAGTACTCGGAGAAAACCTGCCCCAGCACCACTTTGTCCACCACAAATCCCACTTGACCAGACCTGCGATGGAACCCGGGCCGCCACGGTGGGAAGCCAGCGACTAACCGCTTGAGCTCTGGCGCGGCACTTCTGCCACTGCTTACTAGTACTGGTTTTACTACTATTACACTACTACTACTACTACTACTATACTACTACTACTACTACTACTACTACTACTACTGCTACTACTACCGCCACCACCCCCTTACATTGCTACTTCTGTTATTACCTGTTCATCACTGCACTTCATATTCCGTTAATACTCGTAGTTAAAAAATGAATTAACCACGCAATCCGCGTTGCTTCTTCCGAAGCGTGCTAGAAGTCAGCAAATTTCCTTACACTAGTAATCACATGTAAATACGTTCCTTCTCAATTTTCCAAGAAGAATGGGATTTGCATGCCAAAAGAGGGTACATATTTTCGAATGCGTTGACTGCAATATTGCGAGAAATTAATAAGAAATCTCCATCTTTTATGAAATTCGAAATGTTACTGCCGTATTCACAACATACCGTTACTTGTTCCTATCCTGAGCCAGACGAATCCACTCCACACCCTCTTGTCTACTGTTTTCATTTTACTGTTATAATTCCGCCTATGTCATGGAGGATGAGTGGGCAGGGCGTGTAGCACGAATGGGGGAGAAGAGGAATGCATATAGGATATTGGTTGGAACGCCAGAAGGAAAGAGGCCACTGGGAAGACCAAGGCGCATGTGGGTGGATAATATTAAAATGGATCTTAGAGAGAGAGCATGGGATGGTATGGATTGGACTGATCTGGCTCAGGATAGGGACCAGTGGGGGGCTCTTGCGAACACGGTAATGAACCTTCGGGTTCCATAAAATTCCGGGAAATTCTTGAGTAGCTAGAGAATTGGGCTTCTCAAGAAGGGCTCAGCTCCATAAGTAAGTAAGTAATTCCGCCTGTTTAGGTCCGTAAGGTGGTCCCTTCCCATGTATATTATCGACTCAAATTTGGTTTGCATTTCCGTCTCCCTACGCGCGCTGCACGTTCCAACGCTCGAGTCCGCCGTAGCAACAGTACTAATCTGTATTGATTTAAGATTATTAATCATACATTAATTTCTGTCTTTGAGATGTTCATTTTTATATGAAACGCCGTGTAATTCTTCATGACAGGTGCCAATATTTTTGTAAGCGTTGTACATATTACAGCATAAACCAACTATTTTATTTCAGTGATCAATCGGGTAATCTTACCACAAATGCGTCTTAAATGTAATGGTTTATTTTCCCATACTTTCTCCTTGACGCATCCGGGACTTGCGAAAAGGTGAATA